AACAACTCATCAACCTACTTCCTGCCATTCCTAAAGTTCCACTAATATTAGTAACCTCTGACCTATAGTATACTATATATTTATTTGAAAATAAACTTGCATTTCTTTTACAGTCTCTTCTGGCTCTCAATGGTCTTCCCTCAATTAAGTAAATATCCTGATATTTTATAGTATTTGTAATGACAAAAAGTAAATATAAGATTGTAATTCCTTTAGTCATCAGTGATCAATGTAAATTCACTGAGAAAAAAATAAACCCCATTTAAATTTTTTAAATCAAGGAAATTAATTTTCAGAGGTAAAAAAAAAACTTTAAAAATAAAAAAACAAAACAAGTCAACCTCAAAGATTATGTTGTATTTTGTCTTGTCACTCATTATTATTAACTGAGGGCCTTTGATGACAATATATTAAGTGTCTTACATTTTCATTATTTAAATAATGACAATAATAGGATGGAATGGGTGGGTGAATAGATCTACAAAAAGTAGTTCTATAGAAAAACAGACTGTCACAATTAAAGATCCACAGATAGGTAAATATCTGTAAATGAAAAAGATCTTTTAATTTGTGGAGTTAATACACCAATCACATATAGGCTGGGAGAATAAAAAAAGAGGATGCTAGCTACTAAGTAAAATCGGATATAAGTTATATCAAATATAGCAGAACAAGATATACATATTCACACAAACATATTTTTAAGCTCTATAATGAGCCAGATCCTGGAAAAAGAGTACTTCTCAAAAAAGAGCACTTTTCTTGAGAAAAGTCAGCTCCTTTGACTCCCCTTCTCTTATCCTAACAAAGAGCTTAAAAATCAAGAACAGAAAAAATAAACATGAATACTTCAGAAATGTTTGTTCCCTAAGCCCAAAGAATTTAACTTGTTATGGAAACCTTAAAAATTTACAAAATTGAAAATCTATTATCTCACTATTAGAAATAAAATGCAAATGCCTAAGTACAGCTACATATTGATAGAAACTAGAGGTCCAGTGCACAAAATTCAGGCGGGGGAGGAGAGGGGAATGGATGGTGTCCCTCAGCCCAGCCTGCACCCTCTTCAATCTGGGATTCCTCAAGGGATGACTGACTGCCCATTTAGGCCCTATCCTGAGATCACAACTGCTCTCCTGCCTGCCTTCCTGATTGCCCCTTAAGTGTGGCTCTTCCACAAAATACCATGGCCTGGGCAAGTCTATTTTGAAGAAGTGGCGTTAAAAGAAGTTTTGAAATTTTGTCTCTCAAAATAAATTTCAATTGTTGTACTGTTGCTATTTGGCTCTGATGACTAATAAGTTTACCAACCACTAATCAACTGAGCTAAATATCGACAGTACAACGATTAAAATTTCTTTTGAGAGCCAAATTTTTTAAACTTAAACCTCTTCTAATGCCAAATCTTCAAAATAGACTCGCCCAGGCTGTGGTATTTTGTGGAAGAGCTCCACTCAATGGACCAAAGAACCGCATGTGGCTCTTGAGCCGCAGTTTGCCGACCACAGGGTTAGACCATCATCCTGATAAAACTCCAAGGTTGTGGGTTTGATCCCCAGTCAGGGCACATATAAGAATCAACCAATGGCCGGGACCGGTTTGGCTCAATGGATAGAGCGTCGGCTTGGGGACTGAAGGGTCCCGGGTTCAATTCCGGTCAAGGACATGTACCTTGGTTGCGGGCATATCCCCAGTAGGGGGTGTGCAAGAGGCAACTGATCGATGACTCTCTCTCATCGATGTTTCTAACTCTCTATCTCTCTCCCTTCCTCTCTGTACAAAATCAATAAAATATATTTAAAAAATAAAAAAAAAGAATCAACCAATGAATACATAAATAAGTAGAACAACAAACTGATGTTTTTGTATTTTTTTTCCTTTCTCTTTCTCTTCTCTCTCTCTCATTCATCAATAAATAACTTTTTTTAAAAATTGTATTTCAATATCTAACTTTGCTATGAAGATTCTTTATCCCAAAAGATTCATTACCAAAAAATTTTACTGCTGACTAGACCAGATTTGTGATTCACTCTCAAGTCTTTTCCTATCATATCAGTTCTCAATCTTATCTAGCTTACCATTAAGGTTTCTACATGTATTGCTTGTATCAATACAAGGTGTATCCAAAAATTTGTATACACAATTTTAACAGCTGATAGCTCAATTCTGAAAATAAAATGTATTTCAATAACACTGTCTTTATAATTATTCAAACAGTGTGTAAACATTTTTGGGACACCCTATATATTAACTCCCATTTTTAACAAAACTCCATCTCCGGTGTGTTAAAGCTTAACTCCCCAATCTAGATTATAGCCATAATTCAATTTTTTTTACCACCACTCTTGGCCAGCTATAATTATACACATTTTTAAATAATCATCATTTGTTCTATCTATAAAACATAATGTGAAAAACAAAGAAAAAAATTACTGCTTCCAAAACATTGTGAAATATCATATTTTTTAAATTTTCCTATAAATCATGGTCCAATATTTAGATAAAATAAAGATGAATTGCTAGAAAAAAAGATCACATAGCTGGATATTGCTGAATTATCAAATTGTTATAGAAGTTCTCCATAAACTCTTCTAAATCTGGATAATGTGTTGCTATTTAGCAATCATAATACTTCTAAATTGGCACTAATTAGCATGCTACTATATAAATATTCTCTAGTACGTTCATGTATTGCCTCTTCAGTTAGACTTCAGGAAAGCAGGAAAAATATCAATCCATCTTTAAATTCTCCACATAGCACATATAAGACTGCCTACAGTAAAAATTCTTAACTAATCGGATTCCAATAATTCATATATTGACAGGCAAAGAAAAAGCAACACCAAGGACTCACCCAACTGAGTCTTTCAGAAAATAATTTATCTAACTAGCTATGAAATATTAGTAAGTATGGCCTAAATACCTGTTCTCTGATACCATTATGAAATAAAAATGTCACTAAGCAATCATGATAGCCTGCTTAGATCAACATGGAATTATAATTAAATATTTACATAAATTTGAGTTACTTCCACTAAAATTACATCATTAAATATATCTCATGAATTACTATAACAAAATAGACAGTTTCCATATGCCTTCAATTCAGTGTGTGCCAAGCAATATCTTATGCCAAGAATACTTCTAATATAGAGATTTTTAAACCTCCTAAACTCAACCATTAATAATTTCAAAACATATACAACCTGTATTCTCAGATTACTAAATATATATAGCCCACTACTGAAAAAAATCTATGTCCCAACATATTATTTTAAATGTAAATGGCAAGAAAATATGGTTCTTCTAAGATATACTCTGTGAACTCTAAATTTCTAAGTAGAGACTGACACACAAATCCTTTTAGTTTAGACAGACATTGAATTTTAGAGATGAAAGAAAGCAATTATCCAGGCCATGCTCTTTACTTCACAAATCTGGAGATTATATTCTAAAAAATTGGCCCACGGTCACAAAGTTAGAGATCCAGGACCTCAAAAATCACAGCTATATTAATCTGTTTCCATTAGGATATATTCTAATATCACTCCAAATACTGAGGTCATATTTGTAGTAACACTTTCTTTTATTATTTTCCTTTACTAAAGTAAATTTTAAAAGGATGCACACTATATCTTCCTTTTTTAAGTCTCCAGGGATTTTTACTATTTTCTCAAAAATAACATCAGTATCTCTAAGTCATATATTTCTACTATAACGTGTAGTGCACCAAACCCTCATATTAGAAATACTTGTATTTATTTGCCATTCTACTTTAACCTTCTATTCATACATCAGAAAAACTACTTAATGCAGTTAGTCAATTATTAATTCAAGGATGTGAAAAGGCCATTAGAAGGACCACTAAGACCACTTTAGTCTCCCCTACACTAAATAGGTCAGATAATTTGACTTCTAGGTTGTTTCTGTTTTTCCAAATTTTACTGTTTCCTTCTATATTGACTGGATTTGTCTATTGTCACTTCTTATTACTGCCAATGAGCCTGCTTGTATCCAATTCTATTCCACTTATACCATATGCAACAGTAAATATGTTCCTGGTAAAAACTTATAAGTCTATGAAATCAAACCCATACATTTTAGTTTATTAATTACAGATGCTTAAAAGCATTTTGTAATTACCTCCTTGTTCTCAACTGTTTCAAAATGAAGATAATACTAATACCTGACCCCATAAATTTTTTATCTTGTAAATAGCTAGTCTTCTTAAATTTCATTTTATACCACCCTCTAATCAGATACCTCCTAAAAGCATTTTAAGCTTATATCAGTTTTCTAAAGTTAATATCCTTTTCTTCTGGGTATTTCATTACTTAGGAAAATGAAATAGTTATAACTTTACAGTAATTTCCACCAAGTTTTACAAAATGTTTTTAAGATATTTTAAACTGTTTTTAAACAGTTGGGCCAATTATGTAAAGTTAAGGATTTTAAGTTTGCCTTGTAAGAAGTAGTATAAATTAGGGAAGAAATATTTGAAAGTTAGTCAAAGCAATCAGAAAATAAAGTTAAAACATGATCAAATATGGTGACAGAAGATCCGACTTAGATCTTGTAACATAGAAACCCACACCTAAAACCTATATGATCATATTAACCAATGTCATCCCATAAATTTAATAAAAGGAAAAGATAAAAAACATAATCAATATACCTAAAATGAGTCACATCGATAGCAACTACATTAAATTAGATGTTATCTTAAAAACAGAATACTAAAGTATCTTAATACACACAAAAATAAAAAGTATTTCAAGCCTTTACATAAAATGTTTCTAAATCATGCACACAGATGAAATAAAATTCTACATACAGAAGATATATAACAAAGAAAAGGTAAAAAAAATAATAATAATAAATAAAGTACTACAGTCCATAAAAAGCCCTCTCCCCACTTAAGAGAATATTGCACGATATAGGTAATTACTAATATCACTTCTATATTCATTTTCCTTCAAATAAGTTTCAATTTCACCTACCTTTCTTCTCTGAGAGATGTTGAGGGCACCAAAGTCATTAAACAAAGATGCAGCAGGTGAAGTGAGAGGATCTGGAAGGTAAAAGTTACATAAGTTTCCACACAGATAATTCCAGTAACCCACAAGTCTAATAATAAATGTTTAACTTGGCAATGCTTACAAAAGTAATGAAAATCACATACTACACTAACAGTTAAACTCAATGCCTCAAATACAGTGGATATTCAAATATCTTCTGAGTGAATGAAACACAAACTGGAGAATACCAATACGCATTCAGCCAATACTCAGTACACATTTATTCAAGAAGCTAAATAGATTAGGATGCTTCTATTTGCTTAAAACTAAAAATAAATCAAACAGAAAACAAAGAAGATGGCTTTTAACCATGTTATTATGAATGTGTTTATGAAGGAGGTCTACCTGCAGTAAATGTTTATTTAGAGACCAAATCATGAGAAAAGTAAAAAAGGGGATGACAGAGAGGTAGTCAGCTATACTCTGAGTGATCACTCTTTGTTTTAACACTTAGGCAAGGCCCTAAAACCATCTACTCTATAAAATATTCCACACTTTTAAGTTTATCACAGATATTTTATATTCTTACTAAAAAAAAGGTAAATTAAGTTTTAAAACACAATCATGAAATCCAAGGATTTTATAGATTCAGAGTTCTATTATTCTATGGTTAGAAGTTACAAATAAAAATGTAAGTCTAGCCGAAACCGGTTTGGCTCAGCGGATACAGCGTCTGCCTGGGGACTGAAAGGTCCCGGGTTCGATTCTGGTGAAGGGCATGTACCTTGGTTGCAGGCACATCCTCAGTAGGGGGTGTGTAAGAGGCAGCTGATTGATGATTCTCTCTCATCAATGCTTCTAACTCTCTATCCCTCTCTCTTCCTCTCTGTAAAATATCAATAAAATATATTTAAAAAATTTTTAAAAATACAATAAAATAAAATGTAAGTCTAAATTGTTTTTCACTTAACAAATCAGAAGTTTCTGAAAAGGTGTGCATAATATACATTAAATATTTATCTTCAATTCTGAGCTTTAAAAGTTAATCTTATGTTTCTCATTAAATTATCTGTAAAATCCTTAAAAAAAATATAGTAAATACTCTCATTTAAAGAAACCTCATATCCCAACCAGTTTGGCTCAGGGGAAAGAGCATCAGCCCACAGACTGAAGGGTCCTGGGTTTGATTTCGGTTAAGGGCAGATACCTCAGTTGTAGCTCAATCCCCTGGGCATGTGCAGGAGGCAACCATGTGTCTCTCACATCAATGTTTCTTTCTTTTTCTGTCTCTCCTCCTCCCTTTCCACTCTCTCTAAAAATTAATGGAAAATATCCTCTGGTGAGGATTAACAAAACAAAAAGTGGAAATAATCCACATGCAAATTCTTATTGTTACCATTATTCATAACTATTAACATTTTACTGATGCAGTCTTAATATTAAATTGTTACTTTTTTTATTAAATATATTTTATTGATTTTTCAGAGAGGAAGGGAGAGAGATAGAGAGCTAGAAACATCAATGAGAAAGAAACATCGACTAGTTGCCTCCTACACGCCCCCTACCAGGGATGTGCCCGCAACCAATGTACATGTCCTTGACCAGAATCGAACCTGGGACCTTCCAGTCCGCAGACCAACGCTCTATCCACTGAGCCAAACCGATTTCGGCTACTTTTCTTATTTTTAATCATCCTTTGGCCTGGCTGGTGTGAATCCTTAGTTATACCTAGGAATCTCAGGTTCGATCCCCAGCCCCTGTCCAGGCACATGTGAGAGGTAACCAATTAATGACTCTCTCTCATATTGATATTTCTCTCTCTCTTCCACACTTCTTCCCTCTCTTCCACTCTCTCTAGAAAAAAATGGGGGGGAGGGAGGAGGATCCTCCAATGAAGATTTACAACACTCCCCCCAAAAAAAATTTTTTAAATCCTTGAACATTTTGTTTAAAAATATACAGAAAGATACCTGGAACTTCTATATCAAAAGCCTTTAAAATGTTCATAATCTTTGAAACAATAATTCCATACCTAAGAATGTTTCCAAAACAAATAAGTCAAAATATGAACAGAGTCATACACATAATCAAATATTGGAGTATAATTAATTGTTGTTGTTTTCTTAAGAATAAAAACAAAAATAGTTCAGAAAATTATGAAGAGAAATAACAGAATTCAGTTTATAATGATCAAGAAATATTCAATAAAATATATGTAACTAGAGGCCCGGTGCACAAAATTCATGAAGAGGGGGTTGTCTCTCAGGCTTGCCTCCACCCTCTCCAATCTGACATACCTCTCACAATCCAGACCTGCTGGCTCCTAACTGCTCACCTGGCTGCCTGCCTGCCTGATTGCCACTAACCAATTCTGCCTGCCAGCATGATCAATCCCTAACCACACCCCTGCCAGCCAGATAGACACCTAACTGCTCCCCTTCCAGCCTAACTGACCTCCCCTACAAGGCTGATCACCCTTAACTGCCCTCTCCTGCAGGCCTGGTCCCACCAACTGCCTTCCCTTGCAGACATGGTTCCTCCCAACTGCCCTCCCCTGTAGGCCTGGGTCCCCCCCAAACTTCCCTCCCCTTCAGGCCTGGTCCCCCCAACTCCCCTCCCCTGCAGGCCTGGTCACCCCCAACTGCCCTCCCATGCCGGCCATTTTGTGGCGGCCATACTGTATCCCCCTGAGGAGGCCATCTTTGATCACATGGAGGCAGCCATCTTGTGTGTTGGAGTGATAGTCATTTTGCATATTACTCTTTTATTAGACTGTGATCTTGAAATTAAGTATTAAAATGTATATATTTAAGTACCGCTGTGTATTATCCTATATAATAAAAGGCTAACATGCAAATGGTTGTCACTCCCTCACGTGTAACGACCCATCAGCAGGAGACATGCAGGTGGGCAGAGCTATGTATGCGACCAGTCACCAGGAGATGCATGGAACACCTCTTGGTGCCTACCTACCGACCCCCCTCCCACCCACGGCTTCCGCAGGCAGCAGCAGCAGCTTGCTCCTGCCTCCCATGAAAGCAGTGTAGCTCCCTCACCTCCCTCCCATGGAAGCAGCGTGACTCCCACCAGCTCCTGTGGGCACACTGCAGCTCCTGCCGGCTCCTGAGGAAGCAGCGGGAGGCCTACTGAGCGCGATTTCATGTGCTGGGCCACTATTCTCTATCATAAAAACCCCATGTTTGTGACACCGTCACAGCGGAACCACCAAAGACTGGTCACCAGAAGGGCGTGAGCACTGCGAGGTGCAGGTAGGTGGATGGGGCTGTGAGCACAGTGAGGCTGCATGGGTGGATGGGGCCACGTGATTTCATGCACTGGGCTTCTAATGTATATATAATACAATTTTAATAGTATTATTAATAGTTTTCATAATATTCCTTAATATGAAATAATAGATCTTTTTTTACTTTCTTCCTTATACCTGTCCATAACTTTTAAAATTTCTACAATGGACATATTGTTTTTAGAGTCAGAAGCATACATATAAGATAGGAAAAGGAACCAAGCCTTACCATGGCCTGCATATGGCTTGGCACTGTCATTTAGAAGGCTTGGGGAGCTGCTACTATTAGTCATTCTCTGAAAAAGAAAATATAGATACATAATATCACTAGAATTAAGAATATTCAACCAATTAAGATTTTCTTTGCTTCTTCCCCTCCTATCCATCTTTCACATTACTAATACTCCAATCACTGCTGCTTGGATTACAAAAATCTATGCAAAAACTTCCAAACACTCTGCATAACACATCAAATGAAAATTTTATTCACTAGTTAGGTGTTTAAATCAAAGCTGCAGACCTATTTTGAATTGCCCTTCTATTAATTTATCAGCCTGGGCAAGACACATATAACAACTAAATTTCCTTGTCCATAAAACTTAAATTCCAATATCCATTCAAGATGTAAAGTGACTACATATAAAGTCAAGAAATGCTCTCTAATATCTTCTCCCAATGCATATTATCCTTCGTGTACCTTAGAGACTCTATAAAATTAGGCTATTCACTGTTCTCTAAATGTTTCATGGTTTCTCAACACACTCCATAATTTCCATGGTGTCTCCCCATCATGAAAGGTCTTCATCCCACAACCACAAAACACATAAAGGAGTAAAACTAGTTTCTTCCTATCTTTCTCTACATACTCCATGGTTGTCCCAACCATAACACCCACCCTTGAAAGTTCACCCTACTCCAACCCTAAAGGAGATAAGATGGCTTAACTATATACCAACTATTTCATTAACTAAAATCCCACATCCTCCTGATAAATTAATTTAGGAATAAATGAAGACTTAGATCAGTGGTAACCACATGGAGCACATGTCCCACAGGGGGGCAATTAGATTTTTAAAGGGGGCAATTCAAGAATGAATTGTTAACAGTGAATTTTTTTGGATTTCTTTGGTTCAAAGAGCCTCATATACAGTATATAAACATATATTGTAATATATATATATATTTATATATATATATATATATATATGCATTTCAGTTATTATGTTTTAAACTTTATTTGCTATTTTTTCATATCACTTTACATTTTTTAAATAATTTCTTTCTCAGTACTTCAACTGTCTTTTCATTCTTTTATTTTTCTCTTTCATGGATGCCATGTTCTTTGGAAGCTTGTTTAGACCAAGTTAATGGCCTTTTAAGCTTCCTCCACATGAATGGAGTTCATTTCTTGAATAATAAGAATTATGTGTCAAGGGGGTCAATGGGCATATCAGGATTTTATGCTTAGGTGGGGCATGGCCAAAGAAAGGTTGGGAACCACTGCTCTAGATATTCTCCACCCTCAGAACAAACTTTACTGTTTAAACTCATCAAATGATACCTGTAGTAAGGGATACTTTGTTTCTACAGGGCTTCCAAATCCATTGACTCCTATAAAGCTGGTGCTGAAATAGGAATCTGTGAGACTGGTATCAGTTAAAGCACCTCCATCTATTCCAGGAACTGAAAGAGAAAAAAAAAAAAATTCCAATATTTGATTATTCAAAAGCACAAATATTGATGTGGTTTCTGTGTTCCTAAATAACTTATGAAGTGTCAATCTGCCACACTTATTTTTATTTACCTATTCATAACAAAAGGCAAGAACAAATAAAATTGGCTCAGCTCTAAACATTTGTTAAATAATGCTCAAGTTGACTGCTGTTTTCCTACAGAGATAGTAATTTATTTTGTATCAGTCACCTAAAAGCTACCAAGCACAACATGAAGAAACAAATCAGACTTGGATTTCAAGTTTCTTTCTCTAACTTTGCAAGAGGCCAGCAGAAACTATAAACCATTGCAATTTCCTCAGGACTGTTTTATTATGGGGGGAAAATTTATTATGAAAAAAATCAGCAGACTCACATTAATTCATAGTTCAGTAAAAACAATTCTACAAAAGTAGAAATGGAATAGAGTTCAGAGAAGATACCCCATCTATGAATTTTAGGACAGGGTAATACAGAATGGTTTTAAGTAGAACAATCCATTTATATACAAACAAAGTCATGGACAATATGTTTTAGATACTAGTTCTTAGTAAGTACTTGGAATGCTGCTATTTTTAAGCTGTTAGTTAAGTACAAAGCCTTACACTTCTTAACAGCTGAACTGCAAGTAGAATTTGCCCTCTTCTGTACAGAACTTCTAAGAACCACTGAAACCACTCCCACTCCCAACAAGAAGTAATCTAACTCTTGCTGCTTCCGCCACAGACTCAAGAGTCCCAGGTTGGATTCCAATGTGTCTGTCTCCTTCACATCAATGTTTCTCTCTCTATAGCCCTCCCTTCCACTCTCTCTAAAAATTAATGGAAAAATACCCTCAGGTGAGGATTTACAACAATCTAAACCACAGAAAAGGAGACTAAAGAAATACTGATAGCTGGATGTAGGGTGCTACAATATGAATTTTGGTATACCCCCAAAATCATATATTGAAATCCTAAACCCTAAAAATGATGATATTGTGATGTGGGACCTTTAGGAGGTGCATGAGAGTGGAGCCTTCCTGCATGAGATTAATATTCTTATAAAAGAGACTTTACAGAGATTCCTAGACCCTTCTACCAAGTGAGAACGTAACAAGAGGGTGTCCATCTATGAATCAGAAAGTGGGTCCTCACCAACCACCACACATAATCTGCCACTGCTGTGATACTGGACTTCCTAGCTTTCAGAACTGTAAGAAATAAAAAAATCTGTTAAGAGAGGAATTGACAGGACTCTCCAGCCATGAAGACAGAAGAGAAACAGTCCAGAGATGGAAGACGCTGACGGCGCCTTGCCATAGTAGCAGTCAGCAGCTGTGTGTGGCTGCAGATTGCCTAGGACCAAACCAGAGGATCGGGCCTGCATTACCACCATTTGTCCACCATCCAGAATTGAAATATCACTGCTGACATGTACACATAAGGAACTGTTTGACATTGAAATTGGGACTCAAAAGAACTGTTGGCCCAGAAAGAAACTCACTACAGATTGATTCATTTGCCTCTCAGCATAACCATTATTGCTTGTCTCATTTTCAGTTCTTATAAGTGTATTTCTAGTATCACATGATCTCACTCTCTAGGGGAAATAATGAACATAAACTGATGAACAAAACCAGATTCGGAGACAAGGTAGCATCGATAAGACTGTCAAACCTCAGAGGGAAGGTAGGGAGGGGAAGGGGAAGAGGTCAACCAAAGGACTTGTATGCATGCATGTAAGCCTAACCAGTAGTCACAGACAACAGGGGGAGGGGGCATGCGTAGGGAGAGGTTTGGAATGGAAATGGGGGGATGAGACCAAATATGTGATACTTAAATCAATTACGATTTTTTTTAAAAAATCTGTTGTTTATAAACCACCCAGGCCGTGGTATTCTGTTAGAGCAACACAAACTAAGACACAGAGATGTGGGAATGTAAATTGGTGCAGCTACTATGGAAAACAGTATGGAGGTCCTTCAAAAAATTAAATATAACCCAGCCAAAGTGGGTCAAAAGTTGAGCATCAACCAATTAACCAGGAGATCACAGTTCAATTCCCGGTCAGGGCACGTGCCAAGATTACAGCTCAATCTCCAGTAGTAGGTGTGCAGGAGACAGCCAATTAATGATTCTCTCTCATCACTGATGTTTCTATCTCTCTCTCTCTCTCAAATCATTAAAAGCATATTTTAAAAAAAACTAAGTATAAAACTACCACATGATCCAGCAATCTTAATTCTGGCTATATACCCCAAGGAAATAACCATCACTATCTCAAAAAAAAAAAAAAAAAAAAAAAAAAGGTGTCTGTATCTCTATGTTCACTGCAGCAATATTCATAATAGTCAAGACATGGAAACAACCTAAGTATTTATGGAGAGGTGAATGGATAAAGAAAATCTCTCTCTCTCTCTCTTCTCTCTCTCTCTCTCTCTCTCTCTCTCTCTCTCTCTCTCACACACACACACACACACACACACACACACACACTGGAATATTATTCAGTCATACAAAAGAAAGCAATCCTGTAATTTGTGACAACATGAATGGACCTTGGGGATGTTAAGTAAAATAAGTCAGAAAAAAAAAAGTTAATACTGTGTGATCTTACTTTTCTGTGGAATCTAAAAATGCCAACTCAAAGCACTAGAGAGCAAAACAATAGTTGCTAGGGGCTGGGGAATGGGAGAAATGGGGAGAAACTGGTCAAAGAATACAAACTTCCAGCTATAAGATGAACAAGTTCTGAAGAGCTAGGATACAACACAATGACTATGACTAACAATTAAGAATATTGTATGAGAGGGTAGATCCTAAAAGTTATCACACATATCAAAAAAAAAAAAAAAGGTAATTATGTGTGTAGGGGAGAGAGGTGCTAACAACCTTTATTGTGGTAATCATTTTGCAATAAATGTATGTCAAATCATCATGTTATACACCCTAAACTTATATATGTTATATTTCAATAATATCTCACTAAATCTAGGAGAGAAAAAAACATTCCACACATACACTTACACTTGAGTTCTTGTTTTAAAAAGTTAATTTTGGAAGAAAAGGAATGGGAAATGATATTTCAAAAGTAGTGAGGAAAATCACTAATGTACAGTAAACTACTCTATGCTATAAAGACTACAAAAATACTAATTTTTCTAAGAAGGTACAAAGAACATACATGTCCTAACTACATCATAAGATATTCAAAGAGAAAAGGGTTGTGCCTTTAAGTTTAAACTACATAAGCATAGATATGTTAGAGACCTTAATTACCATGACTAGAGAATCCAGAACTTTTCATTCCTTGTACCCTTTACTTTTGCAATTTGTTTTAAACAAACTTTATAATATCTCTGTGGAATAACAATTTGCAATCCACTTTAAATAAGGCTTACTATTTCTATAAAAGATCTGTTAAAATCTCTTATTATAACTATTATATCTCTATGGAATAGTGATTAAACATCACTGTATAAATATGAATCTCGGTCCAAACAACTGTTGGAAAAGTTGGTCTCTCTTATTTTGCAGTTAAGCCAATTGTGATTCAGAGTGATTAAATAGCTTTCCCAAAAGTCACAAAGCTAGTAAGTGACAGAACTGGGATAGAAAAGCCAGTTCTCTATTGCACTGAACTGCCATTCAACTTTTAAGAAAGGGAAACAGAAATGAAAAGATGAAATTTCAAGCTTCAGTTCTTAAATGATCATGAGTCACTCCAACTTTAAACCCAAAGGTCTTACAGAACCTAAAGAGCTAAAACTTCTACATCTGTCAGAAGTTATCCTGCAACTATTAACATACAATAATGTTAATAACATATAATTATTATGTGTATGATGATAATTTACTAAAAAAAAGTCCACCCAATAGCTTAACTAAAGAAATGTTCTCCATTATTAGCTTTGTCCCTCCTGAATGAAATTACTTCAATTTCCCAAAACACCACAATAGATCAATCTTACCCAAGAGAACTCTAAAACCAACTAAATTTAGTAAATGCAGGGGACAAAAAATAAAAGTAAACCATTTTTTTACTAGAAAACTTTCTCAGAGCCTGCATCTACAATGTGGATTGTGACAATCTATTATAAAAAGGAAATAGAATACTTCCAAATTTACTTGAGAACCCTTTCTACATAGAGCAACTTGAGGGACTGGAGTTTCAGAGTATACACTTTACAAAAAGTGTCCAGTGGTTTTCCTCTGCCAACAAAGACAAGATGCTGACGATGTTTATCCCAAAGAATGAAATCCAAACTTCTTAGTCTGACATCAGGACACTGACAAATCCTTCCCATGCTACCCAGAGAGGGGTCCATAGGAAGTTGTTCTCTGTTCCCATGTAAGTTATAGGAAAACTTTCACAATGTCCAAAGCCCCTGATATCCTGCTAAAGAAGAGAGAGGATGTCCTTAATTCCTTGCAATGGAACCCACTTAGGTGGCACCAACCTTGACTTCCAAATGGAACAGCACATCTAAAAAAGGAAAAGTGACGGCATCTACATCATCAATCTGAAGAGAACCTGGGAGAAGCTTCTGCTGACAGCTCATGCCATTGTTGCCACTGAAAACCCCTATTCTCTAGGAGTTCTGGCCAACAAGCCGTGCTGAAATTGGCTGCTACCACTGAAGACACTCCTGTTGCTGGCCATTTCACTTCTGGAACCATCAAAGACTCGATCCAGGCAGCCTTCATGGAGCCAAGACTTGTGATTACTGACCCCAGGGCTAACCACTGGCCTCTCACAGAGGTGTCTTATGTTAACCTGCCCAGCATTGCTCTGTGTAACACAGCTTTTCCTCTGTGATGTATGTGAAGTATAGTAATGCCTCCTTTGGAGAACTGCTGTTTGAACTACTCTGTTATTCTTAGACAGTCTCTTATTCTATAGGTCAAGTCTGTTATTTTTTGATAACCCCTTTTTCTGTAAAATAAATGTTTTAGTTTGAATAACAGAAAAAAATAAAAACTTAGCTAT